GAGGAATGTTGAGAATCTTATGAAGTCACACTTTTACCAGAATAAAGTAGTAATATCACCAGAATAAAGTCAGAATATTATGAGAATAAAGTCATAATATTACCAAAATAAAGTCAAAATATTTTGTGGATAAAGTCATAATATTAACAGAATAAAGTCATAATATTAACAGTATAAAGTCATAACAACATAAGAACATCTACATGAAACAACATCTTACTATTGCAATAAAATGAGGAATGTTGAGAATCTTATGAAGTCACACTTTGATATTGGTTTTACAAGTAAATAAATACTTTATCTTTTAACACATCAATTGATTAACAGTAGCAGAAAAAAAAAACAATTGTACAAAGTCATGCATAATTAAATGAACTGCTAGAAACTTCACTGTTAAAGAGAGCACGCTGTGATTAATGTGTCATCTTCATCATCAGGTATGGCTTCAGGAGTCCTCCTCACCTGGAGCTGAAAGCGCGGCCTAAGCTGGGTGAAAGGGAGGTCACTCTGGTTCATGTGACCGAGTGGATTGAGAAGAAGTTGGATCAGGAGTTCCAGGTGCTCGTATATGCATGACTGAGAAATATAAACCTTACTCAGCGTGAACGGGAGGATAATTTAAAATACAATGTGAACCTTTTGTTTCCCTGTTCTTTAAAAAAATACTTTTCTCTTCCTGCAGAAAATATTTGTGATGCCAAACATGGATGACATATGGCTACCTATAATGCACTCTGCCATGGATACACGCTTGATTGCCAACTTGATGACTGTGACAAATGATGCCTTGAAGGATCCGGAGCTGCAGGAGTCTGAGGTTCCCGACGTGAAGTCTGCAGACCAACATGTGCAATGACTGACACTTCAAAAGAATACAAGTAAAAAAAAGAAAAAAGAAAACAGTGCAGCCACAGGCCAGAACAGGTTTTCAACAGTTTTTTAAAATCTATATTTCAGTCCCATTGTTGCACCAGACTCGTCGTTCTCTCTCATGAAACACAATTTAAAGGGACAAGAAGACTATTCACCACTAATGTGTCATGGCGGATCAACAAATAGCCATTTCAAATCAGCTAGAGGAACCATAATACCTGTGATGTACAGCTGTACCAAACATGATACTCGTGCAGTGTCATTTTATTTTTGTGTGTGAAGTTAGCAGTCGAGTGGATCCTTGTCGCTAAAATTAGCATCACCAGAACTCTGTGGCCTCTTGGTGAAGAATGTGTGAAAGTGAACGCCAGAATCTGATGACGATTTAGCTAAAAAGCCACAACACAACAGTTAAAGGGATAATTCTAGTATTTTTAAGTGGTGTTTTGTGGAGTTGTCAATGCATTTCTTACTTAAGGTAGAAACCTGAACATTTTGGAATATCAGAGAGCAGCTGACAGCAAGACAGGAAGGGGATATTGTTCTTTTGAAAGAAAACTTTGACTTTAAAGACTTTATGGCGTTTTGTATGGAATCATACATGTAAACTCATTTAGACGTTTACCTGTAGGCTTACAAAAATCCGTATTTTTTAAGAAAAATTCATAGTACTCTTAACATGATACAAGTGGATGGGGGGTGGGGTTCGGTGTGGCATTACACCGCCCACCGCTTCCTTGCTAAAAGGAACAGCCAAAGATTCAGTTTTAACTCAAGAAAAGCATTGATTCTGGCACACAAGCTGGGAGGTGGTTATTGAATTATATTGTTTTTCTAAACATTCTACAGGCTGAGATATAAAATAAATTTGAAGCTGAGTTTTTGTAAAAATCCATGAGCAAACCTTGAATTGAAACACAGCCACATTTTTGTTGTCGATCCGGGGAGTTGAACCAGCGGCCTTCTGATCACAGGCTTCTCCAACACCCCTCCCAGCGTAAAACATGGCGGGTGATATGCATTTCCTTCTTTTGAAGCTTTGAAGGTAACCTTGCTCAGACTGCTAGCCGCTTGATTTTCTAAAATGACAATAGTGATATACTGCAGGTAGGATACTGACTACTTTCAACTCCACACAATAGCACTTTAAAAAAATCATACACGTCAACCTCTTCGGACGTTTACTTGTATAAAGAGCCTCAAAAATCTGTAAATTTTGCAAAAAATCCGTACAACTCACACCCGCAGGGGTGTGGGTCTGTCGGCTGCGGACATGAAAGCGCCCGCTGCGAAGCAGGAGGAGAGGAGAGCGGAAAAAGTTCAAAACTTATTTTCTAGCAGCAGAACAGGTTGGAAGATGGCCGTTTGATGTTATTGTTTTTTAAAATCATCCTACAGGCTGACATGTTTGAAAAAATCCGTGAGATTGCCCTACACGTCCGTATACCTGCAAAATTACATAAACTCCTTATAATTTACGGACAATCCGTACAAGTTGACATGTATGAAAAATATCCAAACTATTCCTTTAAGCCACATGTATTTCCTACCACAKCTTTTATCAACTACACACACTGCAGCTCGACATCAATGCAAAGCAGTCATTAAAACATGGTGGACGCTGACCTGTCAGAATGTTTTAGTGAATTTGCTCAAACTGACGTAGAGGGATTCTATATTTAAACAGAAATGCTCTTTKCATACAGCAGCTCAGTAATATGTAGGCTTCTTGAATGTATGTCAGCTCAGTCGCTGACAACATGCTTTTACGCAGCATATTTCATGCTATGTTCAGAGTTGAGCAATTTTTAAAATTATTCTTTGTTGCCAAAAGTAACGTGTAGGAGGGACAAATAAAGCAATTGGGTAAATGAAATAAAAACTGCTCTCCTGATGTACATTTTAATAAGTGCAGAAGCTGCAGGAAGAGACTGAAAACATCAAACTTTGTTTATAGGTAAAATAAAATGGGTTTTATTAAAATAACATTCTGGATATCAGCCATATTTATTTCTTGTTTTCAGCAAACAGATGCCGGTTTGTTGAGTTTGATTTTGCTCTTCAGTCTTGTATGTGTTTAAAACAACACTGTCTGCTTTTAGAGGTGACTTTATAATTTGATGTTTCGATGTGTGTTGGTCTGTGTACGAGGCAGAAAGTGCCTTTAAAATAATCAAACATTCCTTCATAATGAGGCACCTCATTTCTTGGACTGGTTAAAGAAATGTCTGTGTCATTCCTGTGTGTCAGGACACGCCCTTTGATTTGAGCATTTTGTTCATTTGCAGTGATGAAAATATTAATTGCTGTTCGGTTTAGTAAAATTGCAGAATGTTATTGTTCCGTTTATTGTAGGTTAATAAAACCTTTTGCTTGGGAAAGTATGTGCAGCTCTGTGGTTGGAACATAAAATGGGAGATCTTTATATTGTGGCGGCCATCTTGAATCAACTAAAACATATTTCATTGATAATCTGATCATTTTCTTTAAGTCTTGTCATATGATCCATTATATTCAATAAGCAAAAAATTTTGTCACCATTCTACCATCAGTGATAAAATAGATTAATGGTTTGTTCTGGTAAAATTACTGAGAGCCCAAGTATTTTTTTGTTGCAGCCTATTAAGAAAAATGTGTAAATTTATCAGTTTTACTAGATCTATACACACACACCTACCTTTGTAATGTAACTTTTCTTAAATCTGTATTTAGACAAGAAGCTTTTTGATTTTTTTAAACATTTTCCCTTCCCTGCAGCATTTTGATTGTTGCAGCCTAAACAGCTTTTTTTAGTAATCTAACCCATTGCAAATTAAAAATCACTGCAATATTTATGAAATACAAAAATATTAAAATTAAATTACTTCTGCATACTTCAACATCCATAACGTATTCACAAAATGTGTCTTGCTTTAAAAGGGAAACTTGGGAGAAACTGCCAAGAAACCCCAGTTATGACAAGACTGATGTGATCTTGCACTAAATCTTATTCTGTGTAAATGGCAATGAAAAAATGCCATTCCACATCATTAAGTGCAACATWTGTTATCAGAAAGAAAGAGAAAAAAGGCAAAAGTAGGTGGAAATATTTTATTAGAATATCATTTATTCAAGACAACAAACATTAAAGGAAAACTTTCTTCACTGAAGTCGAATCTTGAGCAGCTCAACCTGGTATGTGGAAAATAGCAAATGCATGATTTTAGTCAAAACAATGAATATAAATCAAATTGTATCATTTAACTTTATCAGAAGCCTGGATAGTTTCATACTTACTGCATTATTAAAACTTCATCCAGGTTCAGCTCCTGTGTGAATACACAAGGTTTGTGTCCGTTTAATGTTCAAAAGTTTAATGTTCAAACAGTAACAATAAAACTTGTTTAATTATCAAGTCATGTCAGAATCAGTAGGTTGACTTCATTTTTACATCAGAAGTCTAACGCACTTAAATTCATCATTCAAGAAAAGACAAAGTAGTTTTTACTTAGAAGCATGAWTAAATACGCATTTCTGTAAATGAGAATAATTTTGCAGTCCGCCATGAAAAACCTTACCTGCCTCGTGGCCACGCTGCTGCCACGTGAAAYTGCGCAAATACAATTTATTGCTCTAAATAGTCACATTTACTGGAAATATGAGCAAAAGAAACTTCGTGCACATATTATGCACAATATATATATTTTTCCTTTTTAAAAATAATTTAGCTAGATATAACTGAGYRKCTTTRTTACWACTGTAAAACGAAGCAGCCAGCCAGAAAAATGTCTCCCGGATGTAAACGGTCACTTTTTATAGTACATCCGTGTCAGTTGGTCTGCTCTGATTGGTCCAGAAAAATCTCTCCAGTATGGCAAGTTGGTTGTTCATATAATAGTTAYACCAAATCTTCAAAAATCTAGAAAGCCTTTTGTCCACAACCAACATTGTGAGCATTAGATAACTCTTAATTGACAAAAACAATTATATTGAGAATAGTTGTAAGTTTCATTTTGGATAGTGGTGTGCACAATTCCCCTAAAGCACTAAAGCACTAATAGGGGAACTAATTTCCTGATTAGGGCTTTAGAGCTTTTGCTAATTTTAAAATTTATTAGTGGGTTAGCACTTGCTAAATTTAGAGGCTAAGTTTAGAAGCACTAACRGAGGTCTATAAATGTTGATCAATGTTAATGTTAACAGCTGAGGGTGAAAGCTGTCACTCATTTTGTTCACAGGTGTCACTTATTCACTAGGTGACAATATTTCGACAACATGAACTCAAATAAGGCTGTGGAATGTCAATGAAAAGTCATAAGAGATTAACATGGCAATAAGTGATGTTGTCTGTTGAAGAATGTTCATGGGTTGACTGAGTTATTTTAGTGCTTTAGAATTAACTTTTGCTAAACTTTTCAGTGCGTTAGTGCTTTAGAATTAGGGGACCCAAATAGTGTTTTAGGGGTAGTGGAATTAATTTTTAGATTAGCACTGCCCACCACTMCTAAAATAAAATAAAAAGGGAAACTAATCTTAATGTTTACGATGTAATTTTAAATGTCCAGTCACCGTTTTGTTTTGTTTTTTCCCCACTTTGTACCCATAATTTTGTGACTACATAATGGAGCCTTCTGCCATAGTTTATTGTCGTACCCTGTAGTATTGCAGTTTTTTTTTTGTAAAAATTCTAACAAAATTTTAACCTAATTCTAAAATTATATTGTTTAAATTTAGTTAAAATTATTTGAACTTTGTGGCCCCAATTACATGTCTAAATAAACACAAATAAATAAAATAAAGTCCTACTTATGGTAAATGGTACATGGACTGAACTTACATAGAGCTTTACACAGTCATTCACTCATTCACACACACGTTCACACACTGATGGTGATAAGCTATATTGTAGCCACAGCTGCACTAGGMCACACTGACAGTGGAGGGGCTACCATGTACCGGTGCCCCCGGGCCCTCTGACCACCATCATTAGGCAAGGTGGGTGAAGTATTTTGCCCAAGGACACAACAACTGAAGCAGCTGGGACAGGGGGTCGAACCAGCAACCACTCCACCACAGCCGCCCCATTTAACATTTTATGAGATGCTAAATCATAATTTTGAGATACAAAGTCARAATGACATGAATATATCATATATATGTCATGATTTTGTTGTGCTAAGTTATAATTATGCAAATTAATTATGGGATGCTAAGTTACAATTTTGAGCAAGTGTCTTGTGTAGTGCCAAATAATCCTTATYATAACTTTGGGTCATCATTTTGACATAGTTTCACAGAGTTTGAGATACTAAGACYTAATTGTGACACAGTAAGTCATAATTATGATACAACATTTATGAGATAGCATAGTAGTCTCTAACAATAATTATATAATTTGTTTTTGTTTTTATTTATTTATTTATTCATTTATTTATCTATTTATTTATTGAGAAAGTGAAAATGAGCTTTCAAACATATGTTTTCAATGTTGATGATTAGCAATAATATATTTGATCTAGGAGGAATGTGACATTGATTTAAAAGTCAGAGATCTGAGAGATGTGGTTTAATTATATGCTACAGCGGTCTTCCATACAATCACCCCTCCTCCACTCCTGTGGATTTCAATCCCAAAGTCCAGCCCCCGCAGTATTAATTTCAGGAAGAAACAACACCAACTCTGTCTTCGGCTGCTGCCGCAAGCGTTTCAACWTAGATAAAACATTCCGAAACCTCTACTTTTGCTCAGCCAAAACTCGTCTTCTATGTAGCCACCGATCTTCCGGACCAGCCAGCCGTCTTGACCCGGTTCGAGACCAGAGAATATGGACTGGCGAGTGAACAACCAGGTTCTGGTGTGCTGCGTTTTAGCACTGCTTTGCTACGCTGGGCACCCACAAACGGTAAGCAGCTAACTGGATAACCGAGCTTAGACAACACGAGGTTATAGTTAATACACTATTAGCTTGACTTAATTTTTTTCTGTGTCTAGTCACAAAATAAAAYCATTTSTCTTTAATTTGTTGAAGCTGAGAGCCTCTCTGAACGGCGCGTGTTGACATGGCAGCTGTTAGCTAGCTGGCTAAAAGCAATGATTTAGCCTAGAGACAATAAAGTTAACTTTACTGACCCTTTGAAATTAAATACATTCATTACATTGTTATTCTAGTTTTAGTTATTAAAGTAGCGTATAATTAGAACATGAATTTTCATTTCTTTCTTATGTGTTTATCTTATTTAAGAAATGCAGCTTCTTCGTATTGAGTCACCAATTTTGCATATTTGTCATCCAAAAGATTGTAAATGGACTGTAAATTATAGAAAAAGGGGCAAAAGAAGGTCATAACTTTAGATAATGTGTTTTTATCAAAGACTTTGTGATATTGGGGCTTCACTCATTTATCAAAGCTTATAAACTTATTGCTACAATGTTATCATGTTTTGTATCATAATACGATATCTGCTGTAGCTTTACATTATCGTGAGGTCACACAATCTGCAGGGCCACATAATTTACTCACAGTTTCTGTGAGATGTTTTGATCCCTTTGACCCAACAGCTCAGTCACCCTCACACACACCTGCATCAGCACTACCAAGAAATGTTTGTGTTCTTGACCCTGACATGTGCTGGAGAATGACCTGTTGTTTCATGCATGAGAAGTGAGGTAAAACAAGAATCTTGATCAATCTGCTTTAAGATAAAAGGCTTGTTTCCTACTAGCATACCTCGTTTGTACGTGCAAATTGAAACATTTCACTGCAGGTGGTTGTGTCTCATGCTAGGAGGACAGGTGTGCTCAAAATTCATGGCATTTAACGCAGGTTCAGATAACGAATCCACACAAAGTTTAAGCAATGAAAGACCTAGCATTCTTTCAGGGGAATGCYTATCACCTAGACTTTCATGCCAGAGTTAACTTGGATCCTCTTACGGTGAGAAGAGACAGAGTTACAGCTGTTTCTGTTTAACCTTGCAAAGTGCATTCTGTGCAGGATTCTTGTGTGAGCTCTCACATGACCTGCCGGCACTTGAAGTAATTGTTGGGGATGATACTCGGCTACTACCACACCAAAGTTTAGCTTAAAATCTTTGGTTTCCTCTGTTAGTTTATTAGAAAGRCTGCAGGTGGATTCAGGATGACTTCTTATAGACGTGTGTGAGGTATGAATGCGTATTAATGCCTATACAAAAAACACAAATTAAGTCATTTTCTCTACCGTGTGTTCATCTAATGAGTAGGGCTGTGTATTGGCAAGAATTTGGCGATACGATACATATCATGAGAGAGGGGTCACGATACGATATATCCCGATATATTGCGATACTATAAGCAAGGCGATGTATCGCCATATATTGCGATTTTTTTCGTCCAAAAATTCTATTAAATAAAAACCTCTTACAGGGGAAAAAAATGAAAAACCAAAATTCATTGTCTCAGAAAATTCTAATATTACATAGACATGCTTTTGATACATTTAGCTGTGTTCTGCTTTGTATGCATTTTATTTTGTTTCATATTTCTTATTTCATCCATGTTTTCAATTATTAGACTAAATCTGACAATAAATAATTTGAAAATATATTTTTTGCAGCTTTTAGTTTTTAATAATAATTTACAATATATCACCCAACACTATAACAATAGCCTCTACCTCAAGAGGTAGAGGAGCCAAATGGCTGGCTCACTGCTGCCAACTAGTGGTCAGAGGCTGAACTACAACATAAAAATGAACGGCTGGCAGGAAAGTTGACATTTTAAACCTTAAAAAAATCGACACAGGGCTTTAGAATATCGATACAGTATCGGGAAATGAAATATCGCGATATTTCAGTGTATCGATATTTTCTTACACCCCTACTAATGATCTATGAGTACAAGCTCATTGCAGCATCTTTGTCAGTTGCTGGTAATATTTAGTTCTTGCCTTTTAAACGTAGTGTTACACCTTTATAATTGTTTTTATCTAAACTTGGACAAATGTCTGTCTCAAATGTAGTTTTATCTTGTTGCTCAAGCACTATGACAGTATTAAGTGATTCGATTTTGTTTCCGTGTTCAAAAAGTTTTTTAATCAGACAGTATCTTATATCAGTGGCTTGGCAGTGCCTTAACCGATGGTGTTAGCGTACAGGCCAACACGTAGCATCCTACTCTGAAGCAACCACACACATAAGAGAACTTCACAAACATGTGATAAAACATTAGTTTTAGTGATTGACTTCACACGTGAAGTCCTCCGCTTGTGGCGTACGCTGCCACACCTGCTACACTTTGTATTTTCCAACATCCTCATAGTTGTGATTGTTGTGCTGCTCCTGAGAGAGAATCAAGACAATTTCTGTAGACTTTCAGATTTTATTATATTTCTAAAGACCGTGTTTTATTGGAATTATTTTTGATGACTCAGTGATGTTGCTGCAGCTCACTTCCCATGACAAATAAACAGATGTGTGATCTTTTTTCTTTCTTTCTTTTTTCTTTCTAGGTTCCTGTGTTGGTTTTTCTCTGCACCCAGAAAGGCTGCAGAATGATTGCTTATTGCTGCAGACAAAAAAAAGAAAGAAAAGGGTTTAGAGCAGAGTTCGGTTTTTAGGACACCCATTTAGTTTTCTATCTCAGTGAACTTATGATATTTTTGCACAAATTTAAATCTTATCAGCCACCATCTCAGCTGGCCACAGGGCTCTCAGTGCTGGGTCGGTTTAATTCATCCAGTCTTTTTGTTTGAGATGTTCTGSTTTAGAAAGAGCAAAAAAGAGGCATGGTGCACACGTGCTCCTGAACTGTTTGTTTAAACGTGACAGAACGCCGCAGGATACAAGCTGTCCTGTGTTCAGCGTTAAGGTTTTCGAGGCACAGTGACACTGAACTGACCGCTGATAAGAACCATCAAAGTGCGTGCRCCTTTCATCCACACCTGGCCACGTTGCAAAAGAGAAAATTATGATCTTCGAACAAGCAAAAACGTTTTTAGTTGGACTCAGTTTTGCACGATTTCACAACTCTTATTACGCAARAACACATGTAACACTCGGAATGAAGAAATGGGAGGTTATGCATTATTAGTTTTTACCTCAGTTAAACTCTAAATCACATTCATTGTGAGCAGCAACGTGTCGAACGCTTCTGCATATTCATGACTTGTTGAATGTTGGTGTCTGTTGAAAACCACCAGGCCAACAGATGTCTGCAAAGTCATTTGTTTGTGAAACCAAAAACCCAGCTAGAGGTTTTGAGGAGCCCAAAAACAGATTATTTATGTTTTTTTTCCCAGCACACTTGGGTGAAGAAGCCAGTGAGAACAGTCACAGGTGCACATTATTGACACAAATGCCTGTATAGGATGTGTGAGGCTACAGGAGGGTTTTAGTGGAAGGAAAGAGTTTGTCTGCTGTTAGAGGGAAGCTTTTGGTGATTATTTTGTCTTGGTTTCTGTTCAGTTGGCAGTGATGTGAGTGACCTTTCCAGACAATAAGACGAATAACTAAGAGTGGAATGTTATAAAAATACCATTCTGCTCTGTTTGGTCACTGAAACTTTATGTAGGGGAAACACAGGCTGTGTGACTGTAGGTGGACACACAGGGATTCAGAGGCAGTAGTTGCACCTAAACTTTATCTGCCAATGAAGGTGGTGAAGATCTAAAACTTAAACCTTTATGTAGACCTAAAGTGTTTTTTTCCCCATGTTTTTAAACCCATTTTGCACTGAGAAGCCTTTAAAAAAAGATTTTTTGAAACCAGTGCTGAATGTTGTCACACAGTAAAGAAGCCGTTACACTTGAAAAAAATTACACTATTGTTGTGTTATTTAAAAGAGGTTGTAGTTTGTTTTATTGCAACTCATATTGTTTGTGGTGTTAAATAAACTGCAGTGGAGTTGATTGATTGCATTGATTGCAGTTTTCTGGACGATTGCCGATCTTTAAAAATTCTGACCTGCTTATTCGATTATGGCCGATACCTATTTTTTAAATAGCCGATACTGTGCTAAAAGGTCACAATACACCTTTAATGTTTCAGTCTTATTTTATTGAAAAACACAGATAAATGCTCCAGAAACGATTCAAACTTGTTTGAACATTGCTTTAGGTAGTGCTCACAGCAGAGCAAAAGAGGACAGTGGCTGATTTTCAGACCTTTGTGGAGGAAGATCTTTTCCACCAACCTTACCTAAGTATCAATCTCCCAATTAAGGAAACTGGTGCTACAAGTTGAAACTGGTAAACTGTGTTGTTTTTCTAAAGGGGCTACTTGCACTACTTTTAGGGAAGTCAACACTGCTGATTAATAGCTCTGTGGTTTGGCATAATAGTGGAACCATTCTGTCTCAATTTGAGTAGATAACAAAGTAGTAAGTAGTACTAGTAACTTTTGAGTWGGTAGTTTTGAAAGTTCATATCAAATAAAGCAACATTAAAAATGCCTAACTCTTAACTAGAGCACTATCGTACAGTTAAAAAAACAAAAAGCTACATTTTCCATCAAAAGACTGACAAGACTGAGTTTGTTTTATAAGTTGATAAATAGTCCAGATCTCTCCAAACCATCACTTGACCTTTTCCTGCTCACTCTGAGACGTTCATGGCAGAGTTAAGAGTTTTTGGAATTCCTTTAGTAGGCGTCCGGGGCACATTTCACCCACAGTGTTTAATTCTGGTCCAAACCGTGGGCATGAGGTTGGATGACTTTGTTTTTGTTTTCTTTAAAGATGTTCATTATTTTTCTCTTCTTCCTTGACAGGTTTAGACTAAATTTGAGACCATATAAGCCACGTGTTCCCTGTTTTTGCTTCCCTTGTAAATAACGTTGCAGTGTGTGTTTGGGGGGGTACTCAAATTATACCAAAAATCAGACTATGTAGAAACAAGTTGCGTTGAGATCGTACGATGGGAAGGCAGCTTTGGAAGAAATCCAGAGAAGGGTGCTCCTATGGCGTGGCAGCCTAATTATCATCCGTGCACTCCTCACATTGTCCTCCAAAGAATCCGTTTAAAAAACAAAAGCAGCTTTTCAAGAAATACTGGATAATTGGAGTCCAGCTCCTACCAGTACTGTTGTGTTATCTATAACAGACTTTTAGGTGCCGACACACAGAATGTTGTATAAACTCTGCATGATGTCATGACCATGTTCAGGACTTTCTACACAACCAGAAAGCACAGCTCACCTTTTACAGGACATTTAGCTGTAAATTAATTCTACACTCAGTGCTGCAAAGATTTTAGTAATTTTTGTGAAGCGTATTAATTTGAAAACTCACCAATGAAAATAAAAAAACAGACATTGATATAATGATTTTTTTTAAACCTCCTGGTGGCCCTGGGTCAAAATGATCCCTGAGGCCTTAGATTTCAAATTGAAGCCTCAGGGRACATTTTGACCAAGCAGGAGACACCAGTTTATAGGGGAAATACAAGTTCTGTGACCAAAAGGGACATTTTGAGCGACTCACTGGTGGCGGCTGCGTTTCCTTTCCATCCCCGACATAAAGCGGCCTCTTAAGTGTTTTCATTTGTTACTTTTTGTCAAGCTTAAGAGCTTCTCAGCCTTCCGAATTCCATTTGCATCCTTTCAAATGCTCAGAAGCGTGTTAGTGTTGTTTTCAGTGAGAGAAAACCATTACATGGGTGAGCCACTGGGGATGTTAAGTGGGATTTGTCCACAAGTTAAATCAATACTACTATGACTTAGCAGAACTCCTTATCTACTTCTGATGTTTCTTGTAGTGAAGATAGTGACGTTAAAAACATTCATTTTATTTATTCATGATTGACCTCTTGTTTCACTTGACTTTTTGTATTTCATTAGTTTGAGTGTTTTATGTGAAAGCATGTCTGAATCTGTATGAATTATTGCCAGTGAAACAATCAACTCTTAATGGTAAAAACAATGTTTTCTTCACGCAATAACGTCAGTCAGACAAGCTAGCATCCTCTGCCAGACATCTTTAGATGAATAATTTCATCATTTGTTGTATGAGGATAAGCATTACCAGACTGATTAGTGATTTAAGTCATTATTCCCTGCCTTAATGCAGGCGCACGTGTTCCAACAGAACCTGCAAATTAAAATGGTGTCCAGCCATTTTTATTTTATACGTCTGCCAGTTAAAAAATCAGCCATGCTGTCATATTTTTAAATTTAAAATCAAAATGCGTTATGATTTTAAGGGTGTATTTATTTAATTTGTGTGTGTGTTTTTGTGTGTAGGGGCTTTGCAGTGCCAGCACAGTGTCCCTTCCTGAGAACTTGCTCTTTGTGTCTACTTTGGATGGAAACTTGCACGCTGTCAGCAAGAAATCAGGCTCTATCAAATGGACTCTGAAAGAAGGTAAGAGGAGAGGATACAGTCAAGTGGAAGTGTTTGTTTACTCTCTGCTTTCTTWTGTTTTTTGTTGTTGTTGTTTTACCCACAAAACTGTAAGAAGCCATAGTTTTGGCCTCAGGGCTGAGGCCTTGTAGGACTCTTTGACACAAGGGCAGCAGGACAGTTAAGACAAATTTCACACATTCTCGCATAAAACAATGTCCACAATTAAAAAATAATCTGTATTATACAGTATATTGTTAGAAGTTTTTCTAAGATTTAATCTTGCATTTATGCCATGCTCGAAGAGGCCACTCAGCCACGTTTTAGACGTGAAAAGTGGGTAAATATTAACCAACAGGGGGTAAATATAGCCTCTAATCAAGGTTGGTGTTGGTCAGAATTAACCACTTTGCTGTGATGTCACCTGCACACATGCAGCATGTACTATAGTTACCACCTAAATGCTTTGCATGTCTGAGGATAGGCCTGTCATGGTAATGTTTTTCTGGAGGATAAATTGTCTTAGAAATCATTGTGATTAATGATAATATAGTTTAGAGACAATTTTAAACTAATAAAATATAAAATGATCRACTTCATTTAAATTTATTGTGTGATTGATTTATGGCTTATCACAGCAGACCTACTTGAGGATAGCATTTGATAAGGTAAACTTAGAAAATAAATGTTTCAACAAAACATTCAGGGGTGCACTTGGTACACAAAACTTTAAGACTCCTGTTTTTATGCATAATTTCAAGCTCACATTTTGTAAAATGGATTCCAGTTTGCAAAGTTCTGCTTGAGTCCATTCAAAGAACCAAGTCTGATTGTGAGGCAGAGGCAGCCTCCTCCACATCATCTGTTTTCCTGGAAGAGCTACTGAATATAAATTTCACCAGTTCGGTCCCAGGCGTCAAGCACACCTGTTGTGTTTCACTCAGGCAACTGCACATCTACATAATACAGAAGAAGCAGAAATCTTTTGCTATGGTTCAGTGCAGACAGAACATTTTAATCACAAACATGTCGTATTACTGTTTACTTGTCTCACCTCAGTGGTTTTGCAAACATGCATTTATATTTCAGCCATTCAGGTTTAGCGTTCTTACACACAGCATAAAACCATTGTTTTCTCAACACCCTCTCCGATTACATTGGCTGGAAACTAAAGCTTGTTGAATACAGTCATTTTCCTCCTTTGGATTATCCCACACCTAACCCCCGTCATTGTTGACCCCTTTGGGCACCACCACAGAGATCAGCCCCACCTGGTRCACACCCAGTTTGTTCACACCTGTGGGAGGTGTGTGTTTGTTTTGGAACAGAAGAGGATTCACGTTTTAACAGTAATGACCAGTTTGGTAACGGATTTGGAAAAAGTATGCAAAATCAAACATATACTTTCATCCAACAAATCATTGGTAAAACACTTTTTAAATAAGATTACAATCTGTAAAACTTGATTTATTTTAATATCCGACTAAGCTGTAATATCTTTTTATATAATTTTCATTCTGGCCTATTTAGATGAATGTTTGGTCCTAAAAAGGCTCATCAGCAAGGTGTAAGATATATTATATCATGTAGCTGCTTGTGGTCACATCAGTCAAAATGCTTCTGGCATCGTTGTTGTCGTGTTCAGTTTACTCACAGAACACCACGAGTAAATATATCTGCCTTTCATGTTTGTTGCAGGAAAACTCACGTTCATTTGGACTTTGAGTCCTTGGCAGCTGAATGTCAGCAGCGCTCATGTCGTTTTTCTGACTCAGCTGCCACTGGCCGTTTTTCTCTTCATTGTTTGATGGGATTCTTGTCAGTCCTGACTTGCATCTTGTCTTCTTTGCTCTTCTTACAGATCCAGTTCTTCAGGTTCCCACGCACGTAGCAGAGTARGTATCAGTTTGTAAAGATGCACATACATATTGTTATATAAAATCTATACAATAAAACAGTATATGCAGATTGTGGGTACAGGTCATGCTTGTCTCACTGTCCCTCAAACTATTGTCTTACATAATTTGTTATTAGTTCAGAGTTGATCTGCTCTTTTTGTCCCACCAGGCCAGCATTCTTGCCAGACCCTAATGATGGCAGCCTGTACTCTCTGGGAGGGAAAAACAGCGAAGGCCTCACTGTAAGAGGAAATAACTTTTTATCAGAATTTAGAACGGTCACTCTTAAACACCTCTCAGTTCCTTGTTCTGTAGAAAAATAGTCATGCATCCGCATTATGAAATTGTATTTCTGGCGTATAGAAGGTATTTCTTTCCTTTTTTCCCCTGTTGTTGACTACGTTAAAATGTGTGGATATTTGTTTTTCTTTAACAGAAATTGCCGTTCACCATTCCTGAGTTGGTCCAAGCCTCGCCCTGTCGCAGCTCTGARGGAATACTTTACATGGGTAAGACTCATTCATAAAAAGTCGTTATCCTTACGTGTGGGCAGATCATGTCTGTTAATCACATTTTCTAAAAGAGCAGATGTATTCAGGCTCGGGCAGAATACGATGCATTGTCTTTCCTCTACTAAACCTGCTGTTGCGGCCTCAGCTGGTTTGACTTTACAACTGTTAGCACAGGAAAGATTATCTGTCGTTTGTTTGAGCAGAAGTCGGTTATATTTCCCTACCTGCTGTCCTTATCAGTGAGTCTTCACTCAACTGAAGCTACTYCTGACACACACACTTAAAAATAGTCTGAATCGAGCTGTCGTTTATCTCTGGTCTTCATCAATAACATCCTCTGAGTGACAGAGTATTTCTTAGCTGCGTTTACAAATAAATGTCCTATAAAAGAAGCAATATGCTTGACTTCTTAATATAAAACCTAATAATGTTACAGTGWATCAGTTGTTTTGTATAATTCGCTGCATCACTTGGTCATTTTGACAGTTCTCTACAAACAAATTTTAAAGGGTGGTATTATGCAGAATCAACTTTTTTGAGCTTTATATCATGTTATAATGTCATTCCCTCATCAAAAACATACCCAGAGTGTTGCTTTGACTCATTCACGTGCCGAAGTGGGAGTGTCAGAAACGGTAGGAGGTTCTTAAAGAGACATAGGCTAATTTCAAGTCATTTAGATAGGCTATGATGAAAAAGTGTAATTGAATTTAACACATTTACTTGATTGTACCCACCCCCACAAAAAAAACCAAAAAAAAAACCAGGAAGTTAATAAACCATCTGCTTGCAATACGTTTTTAATAACATGTATAATGTACAACACATTTACAGAATACTCTGTGTAAAAGCAGTTGAGAAATAAACCATATAGATGATTGTTTGTGATTTTAGTCTAAGTGAAAGTAACAGCTGTAGTAACAGAGTCAATAAACCATTTCCTCTGTGTGTCTGCTCATACGCAGGTAAAAAGCAGGACTTGTGGTATGTGGTAGATCTGCTGACGGGTGAAAAACAGCAGACTCTGACTTCTTCCTTTGCTGAGATGCTTTGTCCTTCTTCATCTCTTCTCTACCTGGGACGCACAGGTAGAAACAAAAGGAACTACGATGGTTTTTGCAACCAAGTTTTTTTTTTTRCATCTGTAGGATCTGGATGACCAGTGCGTTTAGTTGTATCATCGAATTCCAAACTGTTTATAAACCTTCTGTTAATCTCTAATGCCAGTTTATCTAATCTGTAACCTAATCTAAACAACTCCAACTCCTTATTGAGCCCTTGTGTTTTTAAAGGACTGTAGCTGCAGCTTTATGTAGACAATGAAGAGTGTGAAACCCCTGAAAACTGAATTCCCCAAGTCAAGCTTCACATTGTAAAAAGTATCTGTTGGATTTTCTTTCATTGTTTCATTGTTAATACAGCAGAAATTCAACACTGTTTAATTTGTTTCTTATGTCCAGATACTGATACTTAAACCCTGCCTTTTGTGTTTGCTTACATAAGTAAAATCATGTCAACGTTTTTCTCCTTTTGTGCTTGTTAGAGTACACCATAACCATGTATGACACAAAGAGCKGAGAGCTGCGCTGGAATGCTACCTATTCAGATTACGCCTCCACCCTTCCTGACGATGACACCAAATACAGTAAGTTCTTCATCATTCTGGCTCACCTGTGTTTTTAACGTTTTGTTGAACAGCGTCCATCAGCTTGTCTCTCCTCTGCAGAGGAGGCTCACTTTGTGTCCAATGGTGACGGGCTCGTCGTGACCGTGGACAGCGAGACCGGAGACATTCAGTGGGTCCAGAACTACAACTCTCCCGTGGTGGCCATGTACATCTGGCAGCGTGAGGGTCTCCGCAAAATCCCACACACGAACGTTGCTGTTGAAACGCTGCGTTACCTCACCTTCATGTCGGGAGAAGTTGGCCGCATCACTCAGTGGAAATATCCATTTCCAAAGGAGACCAAGCCCACAAATAAATTCATGTAATTTCTGTTTTTGCACCAATCGCTTCTAAAGCAAACACAATAGATTTTGATCCTGATTTTAGAAAACAACTTTATTTAGTTTTTGTATTAAGTTTTATTCTGCAATCTGACTTCAAGAACAAATCCAGGACAGAATTATTTAAATATCTAAATCTGTACTGTTCAAAAGTGGCCTGTTTCAGCTCCGGTTTCATTCTGAAGTARGGTTTTATTTTTAATCATGGTGTCCACACCTGCTGCGGTAGAAAAACACAAACAGGACTGCTTGAACTTTTAAGAGTTCCTCCTTTTTTGTCAAAGTTGACAGGATTTTATATTTATTTTTATTACTCACGGCTCAGTTCTGTTTTTAATTTTTTTATTTTTCCTGAAGTAATTTTTTTATTGCACTTCGTTTCAGGGCCACCCTGTATGTGGGTAAATACTCTACAAGTCTGTATGCGTCTCCCTCTCTGGTGCACGATGGAGTTACTGTTGTGGTGAGTTTATTRTACAATGCTGCTTATTTTAACAAAGTGTCATTACATGATAAGGGGAAAATCAAATGTAATGCAAGTTTATTTTAGTGCTCTCAAGCATTTTAGACCTCATTTTTCATTAATCTGTTTACATATTTCATGTTTTCTTAATTTGAGTTATTCGACAAGGATTTTTATGCRATATCTTGTTCCTATAGAGTCTGAGTTTGTCCCAGTTTGAGTAAAGACTTGTTTCC